AAGCAAACTAAAGAAGAAATTCAAGCAAGAAGAGATCTTAAACAGTAATAGAAGACTGCTATTTACTCAATGTATTGGCGGCTTCACATTGAGAGTGGTAATTGCTAAAATCATCTTTAACATGTACATCATTCTTGCAAATTCATGTAAAAAGAGTTATGATTTTTCAGTACTCTGAATTTTGCCAAACTATTAGTATTAGTTGGCATCTACTAACATGGGGTGGGTGGGGGGGAATCATCATCCTTCTTCCTTATTTCTTTTCTTCCACTCCAGTGGCGGAGATGGCTGTGAAGGCCCAGCCTATTCATGAAGAGTTGTGAGCAGGAGTCACAGAGGAGTGTGGGTGAGTCAGGACCTCCTGACACCACACTACAGATCCTCTTCATGTAGATGGTTGAACTCAGAAGTCTGTGCAGCCCACAATGGTCCTATGCCAGGAAGATTGATTTGCAGCAATGGTTTCTCAGGTCCCAGAGTTGTTGTTGGCCTGTGTCAGAGATGTCTTCAGCTAATCCTTATATTGTTTTAGGCAGGTGACATTATTTGATGATACTGCTATGATAGGGAAATTCATTGACAACTTCTACCAGTTTTCCATCAATGTTGATGCTAGCATCTGGTGATGCTTGTCTGGTGGTCAGCTGGATTAGGATCTTCGTCTTTCTGACATTGACCTGCATTTCAAAGTGTTTGTAGGCTTTGTTATACAGGCTTACCAATCTCTGGAGGTTAATGGCATTCTGGTCTATAGTTGCATTGTCATCAGCATATTGAAATACTTGCATGCAGGTGGTGGTACTCTTTGTGTGTGAGTACAAAGTTTGGCAAGGTTGAAGAGATTGCCATCAAATCTGTATCAGATGTCAATGCCAGTGCTGCCAAAGGGATCTTGTTAATAATGGCTGCAAAGTACAAGGGGAAGAATGTCAGCTAACACACAGCCTTCTTTATGGTTACTGGTGATAGGAAACAGATCAATGGTTCACCTGGCCCTCCATTCTCTCATGGAGCATACAGTTTGCCAAACTATATGTGTTGACTAGCAGCATGGCCTGGCGTTGCCCGTGCTTGATTCAAAAATTGTACGACTCATACAGCAATTGCTATCACTTGACTTAAAATATTTTTGCCCTTCCTTGCCTTTAAAGGAGTGCCCTTTGCCGTGTTGATATTGCTACATGCCTTACTTCTTGCCTATCTCACGTGAATTTTTTCTAAGTTTTATACTAAACATTAAATCTGTTACGAAAAAAGAACTAAACAAAATGAACACAAAACGATCAGCTTTAAAAAAAAAAAAAAGGACTCGTAACTGGAAGAACCGAATGAAAAAAGAATGTTAACAACAAATACTTTTTCACACCCGACCAGTTCTGCGGAATCAGAATCAATGTTGAGTTTAAGCAAGCGAATGAGCCAATTGGAGTAAAGTGCCATGCAGATTTAAATTTTTCCCACTTGTGACGAATGCAGCTATCGATATTTTTTTTGCATGCTAGTTAACATTCGTGTCAGTCAGCTATTGGCTCTCATGCTGGCCAATAGAATCTTCCTGCCTATTCGTTGCAGCCAGCTATAGGCTCTCACTCTGGCCAGTAGAAAATGGCCGCAAACTACATGTAACTGCTGTAGAAGCATGAAAAAATCAATTATTTCCACTATCGATGGGAGTTGGGAAATGCAAAGTCAGTCTTGGCTTTTCTGCTAACTTGGAGCATGTGCATGTAAATTTTGGTGCAAATCCGTCGAAAATTGCAGCCGTGCATTCGTTACACACACACACACAACCTGCCTTTTATTTATATATATATATATATATATATATATATATTTTTAAAAAACAAGGAATGCATTGATTTTAATTTTAAAAGTCTCTAGGGCCCTTTATATATATATATATATATATATTTATTGAGCACTTTTTATTATTTTAGCTTTTGGTAGGGAGAACTTTACCTTTGATTGTGGTAGATGCTATTTTCAGTACCCTAATTATTTTTATATTCAATGTTTTGGGTTTTTTTTTTTTTTTTTTTTTTTCATTTCACCCAAGCAAGTCAGAAGTGCCATTATCACACAGGGGGTTATGGAGAGTGAAAATGAGAGAAAAGTGTGGGGTGTAGGGGGATTGAAGAAAGGAAAAAAAAACAGGTATCAACATAAAAAAACATGGTGACTGATGTTGCATTTAGGTTTTTGATGATTGTAATTATCAGGGAAGCAAGTGAGAGGAATGGAGTTCCAATATGGAGAAGTGTGAGGAAAGAAACTGTTAGAAGGGCGGTTACATTTAACTATTTGAACAGTAAAAAGTTGGGACCTAGATGCCAATCTAATAGTACACTTAAATTCATGTAGTCAGGGCACCAGGGAAAAAATGCTCATCAGTGCAGTAGCCATGAAAATATTTGTAGAAAAGACAGAGGGAAGCCACATCACGTCTGTGAGAAAGCGGCTGAAGTCAAGAAGCTAATTCAGTACTGATTACATTACAGATCCTACTTTAGATTTTTTTGAGAATATTGCAGTAAGGGAAGGTCGGGGAAAATTTTATGGATAAAACTTTAACTGCGCAACCAGTAATAAAAATCACAGAAATGCAATCCATGTTCTTATTCATTTAAACATCATCATTTAATAGTAATAAAAAAAATATATATATAATATATTGAAAGTAATAATAATAGTAATAAAAGTAATAGATAGATATACAATACATACACACACACACACACACACACATATAAACTTACCTAGTTACAAACCTAATACATATTTTTCAGTGTTTGATGCAAAATAAATGTCTATTTTTAAGACTATATAAACTTATTTTAACTTTTTTTTTTTAACTTATTTTTAATTTTTTCTTCCAGGCATAGTTTGCATCTGTTTATATATATATATATATATATATATATATATATATATATATATGATAAAATATTGATAGGAATGCAAGAGAATGATAGGATAAGGGACAAATAGGAAATCTTTATAAATCTGACATGCTTTGCTTTTATTAACACTTGAGATGAGGAGGCTTATTTTCCATGAGGGTCAGCCAGGTGAAGGTGAGAGGGGGAGCACATTGCGGCGTTTACTCATTCCCCCACGTGAATGAGATGTGACACAAGGTCAGATTAATGTGGGGGACCTGAGCGCGTACACTCGGTAAGGGACAAAAATTCCCTTCTCTTGGTGGAAGAAATTGGCTGTGTTTATGGCAGCTGATGTTAGCATCATAGCTGGTTGGCAATATCTTTTGGTTGATGACTAAAAATTAACTTACGCATTTTGACTGGATACATGGGTTTCATTTGGACACCATGTCTATTTAAAGTAGTTTCCGATTATTATTTTTAGTTAGAGGACTTGTGTATGTTTAGGTTTCATTTGTTTACTTTTTGTGTATTGTTCTCTGAAAAAAAAACGCTGAGTCACTGGAACTTAACAGCATTCGGATGTTTCAAATTGATTTCATGCAAAATCAATTGTGTTTTTCCAATTCTTGGTGCTGTCAGAACCCCTGCCGGGTAATTTTACATAGTCCTGTGCAGTTTTGTTGAAATCGGTTGAAAAATGTAGGAAATACGATCTCATATATAAACGTACACACACACACACACACACACAATCTGCGTTTTATAATAAGTAAGATTAAGTCTGGGCAATGGATTAAAATATCCCCCCACCCTCAGTGTTCATGTTGTACTTTCTCACAGTGATACTCATTGATAGTAATGATAACAATTAAGCAGGTTCAAAGAATCTTTTTCGAAGCAAATAAATTCTTCAGACAATATTGATTTAATTATGCCAGAAAAACGAGCCAATTTGACATTTTAAATGATTAACAGAAATTTAGTAGGGCTACAGAAATAAGCCCCGCATGCACTTTTCAGGAATTTTGGCTCTTAACTTCAGACTAGGTTTTTTGACCTAAATGATTATTTTTTAATTAGAAATGTGTAAGTTTTATTTTAATAATCATCATACATACAAATAGCATTGATACAACTCCATAATAATTTAAGGGTTTGTGGTCTCACTGATATACAGAGACAATAAAAAAAACTCTTTCCTTCCTCTTCTTTCTTTCCTTTCCTGTCCGTTCACTCACTGACACACGTTAGCAAAGAAAAAAGCTCCTCGCCCATCATTCTTTTCAGCTTTTATGCAGCCACCACTCATCCATAATGCATTGGCACTTCCCTATATAAGTGTTACTTCCACTTTTCTAGCTTTTTGCTTCTGGTGCCAGTAAGTTTTCACTTCTTTTCTCTCATCTTTTTACCTTAGGGTTCAAAAACCACAAATGTCCTTTTGGCTCTATTGTGCAAGCCCATTGTGGAGCTAATGGCAATCCTAGAGAGAAAGAGGAAACTGACCTTAATGATAGGCCCTGCAGTGGCATTTTAGCTGCTACTGAGAATGAGAATATGGCTAAACTGATTGATTACAGTTATTACAAGATTCTTTGAAAGCCTTCAAGTGAGGCCATGGTAGTGCCTGCAGTTTAGTGCAATCTCTTGGCTTCTCAAAAGTCCATGCAAAAACACTCCTAGAATTCTGACAAATTTCAAGAAGAACGTTTCATCTGTTTGGGTCCGTAAGGAAGATGTTTAAAGAACAGTTATTCTCCAGTGGTGACTGAAAGAAGTAACTTTCATGAGGCGGATATAGATGCTTTGATTTAAAGGTAGAATACTACAATTGAGAAAGAAGGTGACTTTATTGAAGACTAGATTTGTAATCTTGAGACTTTTGAGTTAATTTGTTATACTTTGTGCCTACTATTAAATCTGTTGTTAAAGTACAACACACATTACTTTTTGACTCTCTTACTCTATGTTTTATCAGTGATTAAATTTATTTAAAGAATGTTTTGTAAAAAGAAAAAAAAAACAAACCTAATCTCTCTCCCTACATCTACACTAAACCAATTGATTTTATCTAATTACTAGTTAATTCCTTTCTCTCTCTCTCTCTACTTTCAGAACGCCAACCCAAAGATATCGAACAAGAATGAGCGTCAAGCTTTCCTTTTGTTTTCAAGTTGTCAAAAACTCTTTGCAGATATCACTTCTGCCTTCCAGAATCTCTATGATATTAAGGAAAGCATTATAGTTCTTGGCTCATCACCAACAAATCCCAAAGAAATTTACCACATCCAATTTCCAACAACTGTAACATCTGGTTTGAAACCTCTTTCTTGTAAAGAGAGCAAACAGTCTCTCTTTCTTCAGATCTTTGCTCAAGACCCATTCCATGTAGGACAGAAAATTGCATTGACCAATCTTCATGTGCTGCTGCTGTTACCTCGCTGTACTAAAATTCAGGGATTCACTGCTAAACCAACTTACAAAGTACCTGGTAGAAGTCAGCATTATTATTTGAAATTGACTTGCAAAGCAAAAGAAGATCCCGAGGTGTCTCTGGTTAGTCAGCCAAAAGTTACAGATATTGTTCTTGATATATCTGGTATTGTTCCCTTAGATATAGACGACGAGAATGAAGAAAAGTGCAGCCAGCCTATTGCTAATGATAAAGAGTTCTTCAAACTTGTTGAAGAGGAAACTGAGGATGATTATATTTGGTTTCAAGCAAATGTTAATATCAAAGGATATCAACTTGGCTAAATCCTCTTTGTAATGTAATGTAAAAATTTAACAGATCCATATTGAGATTGTATCATTGTATAATTCTCCCCACATTTATTTTTAAGAATCTTTCAAGTGAAATACTTGCACTGCATTTTTTTAATTGCTCAGAAAACGTTTTGTAAATAGATTTTTATTCATCATTTTCTCTTTTTAAATTACATTCATTTAGTATCTTGTTTATACTTGAAATGTATTATGGATAATTTATAGAAATGTATGAAATATCTAATAATTTAAATATTACTCGTTTGAGAAAATGTATCATTTGCAAAATTTTTTATATCGCCCATATACATATAAAATCTTCTAAGAGGAAAGTAAAACGGCAAACTGTTTTATAAAATGAAATAAGATTTGACTGAATTTTAATCTGCCTTTTATGTTACCACTAACAGCACAATTTAACCTTTAGCACTCTGTATGTAGATAACATCATTTGTCAAACAAAATGTTTGTACAGCCACTGCATGTCATATCCTGTGTCAAATGACTAACTGAAAATCAAAGATGATGTTACTGCAGTTGTCTGGCCACTTATAATTAATGGATGAAATACTTATGAATGTTGCAGAGGGTTAAAGGTTAAAACAATTTCCATTTGTTTGCTTCAAATATCATTTCATCAGTTTTTTTCTGAAGAGATCTATTGTATTTAAACTTCTCTTTAAATCTTCATTTTTGTATACTTGAAATAGAACAATGCAGTCTTCTTTTTAAACTTTAAATATGTTGAAAGAAGCAACAAATTCACATATGAATTGTAATAATTCTCATTTCATTCTTTATTTTTCAATACAAAAATATAATTGGCATTGCAAAAATTAATTTAAATTTTTTAACTGCAAGACATTAATCAAATTTGTAAGAATTGTTACATGCTTTTTCTCCAAAGTAAAACTATCAAACTCTCTTGGTTGTGCCTGTATCATAAAATAATTCATTTATATTATAGAATGTAAATTAAACTTGACAATATTACTGAAACCATCAATTTTTGATTGATTTTATATACAAATTTGTCAATGTTGCTGTTTTTAATCCAATACAAATTCGTAAAAGAAGCACAATAATTGAGATTGTGTGAAATAACTTATCGTTTAAATGTGAAATTTTGCCTAAAACCACAGTCTGTTATATATATGGTAACTTTCATTTAATTACAAATATAGATTGAAAATTAAATAATCCAATGGAAATAATTTATATTTGGGATTTGGCACCAATTTTTTAAAACTTTGCTGGAAGAGAACAATGTCAAAATTGGCATTGCAGATTTTATGCATATCTAGCATTATTGAAAAATGTGGCATGTGTAATTAAAAAAAAAAAAAAAGATTTTGTTTCTTGTCCAACAACTGTCAGTTAGGGTTCTTATGAAATTAAATGAAAAAATTGCATTGATTTGTATATCTAAATGGTGATATGTTCATTGCATTGATAGAAATTTTAGGTGTTGAAAAAAAATCTGATTAAATTCAATGGAATTGCCTATTTATAAATTGGTCAATTACTAAAAGTTAGCTAACAACATTTTGATCTTTCTGATTTAGCAAAACCAGTTTAGTTTTTATTTATTTCAAAAGCAGGGAATCACTTCTTTTTGTATAATAATGATCAGAGGATCATAAATGGTGTTTTAGTTACATATTTCTAAATTCCATTATGTGAATTCTATCAAATGTACAGATGAAGCAAGATGGGTTCATAAATTTGACTCTGATAGTAACTTTTTTCTTATAGAAAAATAAAACTGTCCAGAATTTTACTGTTTGTAGACATGATTCTTCAAATTTCTTTACAAAAAGGTTGGCCTTATGTATAAATCATTGTAATTACTCACTATTTACATTTTTGTGTAGTAATTATTTTCTATCTTTATTTTTTATAGGAGCACATAACGTTTGATATGTACAGAAAATTTCTTTTTTTTTTTTTAATTATCAGAGCAAGGTGTAAGTTATATTTTCAAAATCATCTTTGTACAAATTATACAATTATGTATCTAATTTTTTTTTCTGCATCTCCAGTACAGACTGATCCCATTTTAATGGGAAATATATAAAGTTTTTACATTTTCAGTATCCATGGTTGGAAATTGTGTGTGTGTGAGAGAGACAGAGAGACAAACAAACAATAAAAGTAACCACTTTGGTCATGGTACTAATGATTATATTCCAATTTTCTTAAAATACAAATTTGTAATTCATTTAAGAATATGATTGTATTTTGGGAATTCAAGAGTGATATTAAAAACTACAGGAAGAATTCTCAAATTGCTATTAAAAATACTTATAGCTACAATATTTAAAAATATAGTTTCGTATATCATTTAAAATAATGAAAAATACATCTAAATATTAGAAAAACTTAACAGTATTGTTTTTAAATGACTGATCTTGTTAGTATCTTATTTTATGATTTAATAGAATGAATTTTGCTCATATAAAGGTGTTTCTACTTTGAAATTATAGTAAAATGTACACTATTTGTTAAATGAATTTTTCATATGTGAATTGCAAAGATAAAATTCCTTTTGTATATTTCTCAAATGACAGCTGGTAATAAACAAAAGAAAATTGATAATTCTAAACATAAAACAATTTTTTCTTTCTTTCTAAAGTGATACATTTTATCTTCTTGGTCTGTCAAACATCTAATAAAGGAAATATACAAAAGCATTATTATTATTTTTTGCTGATCATTGATTGTGTGCCACTATCCTTTGAGGCAGGTATAAACTGAAATGTTTGTCATATGCCACTGAATGTCATCCACAAATAAATTTAAAGAACTTTGTCTTTTTAAAAACACCTTTTTTTTCTGTCCTGTGTTTTTAATGCTTACATTTTACCATGTAGTAGTTGAAATAAGAAATTCACACTCTTACAAAAGTTTTCATCCCTCTCCTCATCCACATGATTTATTTTCGCTTGTATTTATTCAAAGTTCTATTAACTTGGCATCAGGCTAAATATTTAGATCATAACAAACAATAAATTCCTTTCCTTCTTGAATTCAAGTAATAAATAACTTCTTGACACTTGATCTTTCTAATTTACTGGATTTTGCGCGATTCAGTTTGTTGTTTTACTTGAATTAAATAATTTACATGATTCAGTTTTTTTATACTTGTATGAAATGTTTTGTTTAAAAAAGCGACAGAGATTAGGTTGTGGAACCTGTTAAGATTTATATTCGATGCTCACTCCTTTGTTACAACAACAAAAAAAAGAAAACTTTGGTACAATGACTTATTTTTTGAAGACTCTGAAAATACAATTCATTCAGTGGCTTTTGAAAACATGTTAATAACTATAGTACCCCAAGTGTTCTTTGGAATACAGACAGCTAAAGGCACTGGTTGAAGCATTATGTTCAGCAGGCTAATATTAAAATAGTACATGTAAATTTGAACCCCATTGGATGCTCCATAAACAAAGCCTTGCTTAACATTGAATATTTTTGTGTTTTTTATATATATATATATATATATATATATATATATATATATATATATATATATATACACTCTCTCTCTCTCTCTCTCTCTCAAAAAGTATCTTGAATAATTTAACAATTCACTAAAAAAAAAAATGAATGCTGGGTCAGTTTGAAACTACTGCAATGCAAATTAACTCATTTTTTCTTTTCTCTCAAAGGTTAACTATATTTTTTATACCAATATCTTATATTTATTGTAAACGATATTTGTATTTTCTTAAGATTTGAGGTTTTCTGCTTAAATACATATTCTAGTAGAAGCATAGAATGAAGTTAAGTGATTCTTGTCCCTCCACTTGAAATGGTTTTTATTGTATTATAACAGATATAGGAAGGTAACTTGGATTTCCTAGTTATTTTAATTGCTCTTGAATTTGCTAGTTAATCAACAAAAATAAAGTATTAGCTTAAATATCATAAATTTAGCAAGTAGTTTGCTGATAGTGGCAATGAAAATCTTTCCCTAAGCAACTGAGTGGTTAAAGTTTCACTGACTAGGAACCCAAAATGAAAATCTATATTTCCTTAAAAACTACAAGTCTTTCAAAAGCAAGAAAATAATTGCTACTGGCAGCAAACAAAAAATTGTCATGGCTTGGAAAAGAGTGTTTATATTTTAAAACATCCTTTTCATAAATTAGGGTAAAAAAAAAAAAATCTGAATATTTTAACCACAGTACAATATTATACAAACTTTGCTTTTTGAAACAAATTGAATAAAATTTGAGTCTAACTAAATTATATTTTAAACAAATGTTTATTATATGTGTACTAATATACACACATGAATCCCTCAATTAGTGCAGCTAATGTGTGCATTGGTAACTATTAAAAAAAAATCAATTTTCGATTACTATGGGTAAACTGAAAAGTGTTTTACCGCATTAATTGAGGGATATATAGCAGGCAAATGTAAATCCACTTATTAAAAGAATTATTGATTCAGTTATAAGTATTTGAATATTCTTATAATTATTAACAATGTGTATATTACTGACTCATCTAAAGTGGAAAGGGAGGTAAATCAATTTAAGTTAGTAAATTTGTGATTTACTTCCCTTAGTGTTAATAACGTATACATATTTAGTTAAAATTACTTGCCAAGTAAAATGAACCGTTTAATTAATCAGTTCCTTTACGCCTACGTTTTTTAGATTGCAGTCTTATTTGTTCAAGCCTTTTATATGAGGTATTCATGTACCTTTTGTCTTGAGTAATTGTCTTGCTTCAACTTTGTCATTGCTGTCTTTGTTATATTGCTAAATTTTTTCTTCCATTTCATTGTTATATTAAACAAGATTTTTAATATGAAAAGATATTGAGCAAAAAGGGTTTATAGAATACCAGGAGTAATCAAGGAAACATTGAATGTTTAAATATAAAGGAACATTAAACAAACAGTTCATTGGGATCTATTTTAGTTTTGAATTCTTTATCTCCATTTTATTGAATCTCAATACATTGTTTCAAGACTT